CCAAATCCAAGCAAACTTTTTTGTAAAATTTTTGAAAAGGCTGATTTTAAATTTTGTGTGAAATTTTCAAGGAACTAAAATAGCAAGAACTATCCTGATCCCTAGTGGCATAGTAGGTTACATGTTGGCCTAGTAACTGCAAGGTCAACAGTTTGAATCCACCAGCTGCTCCACCAAAGACAGATGTGACTTTCTGCTCCAATGAAGATTTATAGCCTTGAAAACCCTATATAGGGTTGCTGTGAGTAAGAAGGGACTTCACCGCACACCACCACCACCACTATCATGAAAATAAAAGAAATTTGGAACACTTTATGCTGCCTGATTCCCATACTACTATGTCTTGGTATGGTGCTGTTGGTTAATACGCCAGATTGCAAAGCCATTTGAACTGCAAGGTCAGCGGTTCAAGCTCACCAGCTGCTCTTTGGAAACCCTATTCAGGGTCGCTATGGGCCGGAATCGACTCTACAGCACTTAACAACAACAACAATGAAGTTTGAGTAATTAAGACAGTATGTTATCTTTGTTGTTGCTCAGTGCCGTGGAGTCAGTTCAGACTCGTAGTGACCCTGTATAGAGTTTCCGAGGAGCTACTGGTGAGTTTGAACCACCAAACTTGCAGTTGAAACCGACTTTGCTATCCAGTGCATTACCTTATAGTGCCACACCAGGACTCCATTATAGTACTGGCATAAGATTAGACAACAAAATGAATTAACCGTAGAGAGGGGGTGATTCTCAAAATAAACACACACCTGTGGTAAGTTGATTTTCAACAAAGTTGCTAATAAAATTCAATGGGAAGAAGAAGGAGCTCTTCAAAAAATGTGCTCAAGCAATTCAATATGCAGATTAAAAAAATTAATTTTGATACCTACTTCACATCACAGTTTGAGATGAATTATAAATCTAAATGTGAAACCTAAGAAGTTTCTAAAAACACATGTGAGACTACTTGCATAACTTTAAAGTAGGCAAGCATAACTTTAAAGTAGACAAAAAGCACTAGAGAAAAAGTAGATATATTGGACTTCATCAAAATTGTAAAATTCTGATCACCAAAAAGGTACCATAAAGAAAATGTAAAATAACTTGTACAAAACTTTAAGGAAGTGTTACACAATCCTCACTCCTACCACCATACCCATCAATATGGAAAATCAACTTGCACAGGTATTTAAGAAAGGAGGCTATCTGTTTGCTATTAAGCATATAAAAATATGCCTTAAACAATACTTAATAGCATTTATTAACATTGTTATTGTTATTGCTAGGTGCCATTGAGCAGGTTCCTATTTTATTGACCCATGTACAACAGAATGTAACAATGCCTGGTCCGGCATCATCCTCACAATTATTGCCACATTTGAGTTTATTGTTGCAGACACTGTAGAAATCCATCTTGTTACAGGTTTTCCTCTTTTTTGCTGACCCCTACTTTACCAAGCATGAAGTCCTTCTCTGGGAACTGGTCTCTTCTACAAATAGGTCCAAAGTACTTGAGACTGTGTTTCACCAACCTTGCTTCTAAGAAGCATTCTGGCTGTACTTCTTCCAAGTCAGATTTATTTGCTCTTCTGGCAGTCCATTATATATTCAATATTCTTCTCCAAGAAAGGCATCAATTCTTTATCTTCCTTATTCATTAATCACCTTTCACATGCATGTGAAGTAATTGAAAATACCATAGCTTGGGTCAGACACTCATTCATCCTCAAAGTGACATCTTTGATTTTTAAAGAGGTTTTTAAATACTATTTGCAGCAGATTTACCCAATACTGCTTCTTTCATGGGCATTGATTGTGGATCCAAGTAAAATGAAATCCTTGAACTTCCATCATTTCTTCATTTATTACTATGTTGCTTATTGGCCCAGTTGTCTGGATTTTTGTTTTACGTTGAAGTGTAACCCATAACAAAGGCTGTGTCATCTTTGACCTTCATAAGTAAGATCCTCAAATCCTCTTTGCTTTCAGCAAGCAAGGTTGTGTCATCTACATATTGGGTGTTATTTAAGAGTTCCTTCAATCCTGCTGCCGCATTCTTCTTCAGATAGTTCATCTTCTCAGATTACGTGCTCAGCATACATGTTGAATAAGTTTGGTGAAAGGATACAATCCCGATGCCCACCTTTCCTGATTTTAAACCATTCCCTGTCCCCTTGTTCTGTATGTAAGACTGCCCCCTTAGTCTATGTACAGGTTCCATATAAGCACAGTTAAGTGTTCTGGAATTCCTATTATATGTGATGTTTTCCATAATTTGTTCTGATCCACACAGTTGAATGCCTTTGTGCAGTCAATAAAATACAAGTGACTGACCCTCTTTCTGACATTCTCTGCCTTCAGCCAAGATCTTTCTGACATCAGTCATGATATCACTTATTCTACATCATTTTATAAATCCAGCTTGAATTTCTGACTCATAGAGATTCTGACTCATAGCGACTCTGTGTACAGTTTCCAAGGAGCAGTTGGTGGGTTTGAACCACTGACCTTTCTGTTAGCAGTATAGCACTTATCCTAGAGTGTTACACGGCTTCAACCATTTTTTGAATTATCTCCAGCAAAATTTAGTGATATTGTTTAGTAATTACTGCATTCTATTTTATCACTTTTCTTTGGAAAGGGTACATACATGAATCTTGTCTAGTCAGTTGACAAAGTAGTTGTCTTCCAAATCTTGGCACAGACACATGAGCTCTTCCAGTATTGCATCTAGTTTTTGGAACATCTTCAATTGGTATTCCATCAATTCCTGGATCCTTGTTTAGCTCCAAGTACCTTCAGTGCAACTTGGACTTCTTACTTCAATACCATTGAATTTAATAATATGCTACCTCCTAAAATGACTGAATACCAGCCAATTCTTTTTGTGGTATAGTTGTTCTATGTATTTCTTCCCTCCTTTTGATGATTCCTGTGTCATTCAATTATGGTGGCCCTGGAACCCTTCTGTGAGCTCAGGTGTAACAGTGATTGTGAGGATGGCACAGGACCAGGCAGTGTTTTGTTCAGTTCTGGGTAGGATGGCTGAGTCTGAACCAGCTGGACAGCACCTAACAAGAACCCTTCAATATTGCAACCAAAGACTTCATTTTCCCCTCTGTTCAGCTCGAGAAATTCTAGTGTGTTCTTCCCTTTTGGTTTTCTGACTCCAGGCTTTTCTGAAGCTGCCCTTTGGAATCTCTGTTAAACTCATTTATTTCATCATTTCTTCTATTTGCTTTAGTTAGTCTATGTTCAAGACCATGCTTCAACGTCTCTCTTGACATACATTTTGGTCTTTTCTTTCTTACCTGTTCTTGTAACGACCATTAGCTTTCTTTATGTATAACGTACTTGATGTCATCCCACAACTCATCTGTTCTTCAGTCATTATTGTTCAGTAATTCAATTCTGATCTTAAGATGGCATCTAATTTAAGGTGGGATATACTCAAGGTCATACTTTGACTCTGCGGACTTACTTAATTTTCTCCAGTTTCCATTGACATTGCTGTATGAGCAAATGGGTGGTGTGTTCTGCGTTCAGCCCTTGACTTTATTCTGGCTGATGATGACCTTCTCCATCATCTGTTTCCACAGATTTGCCAATTTGACTGTTGTGTCCACATGTATATACATGTATATACATGTTACTGAAAACAGGCATTTCCAACGAATAGGTCTTTGATCTTGCAAAATTCTACCAGGGGATCTCCAGCGTCATTTCATTACCAAGGCTTTATTTTCAAGTACTTGTTTCCAAATTTTACATTCTAATCGCCAGTAATAATTAATACACCTTGATTGCATGTTGATTAATTTCTAACTGCAGAAACTGATAAAAATATTTAATTTCCTCATCTTTGGCATTAGTGGTTGGTGGTTAAAATTTGAGTTATAGTCATATTAACAGGTCTTCCTTGAGGACATATGGAAATTATCCTATTACTGACACAGTGGTAATTCTGGATAGATCTTGAAATGTTCTTTTTGACAATGAGATGTCATGCCATTCCTCTTCAGTTAGTCATTCCCAGTAGAGTAGAGCATATAACTGTCTGATTAAAAATGACCCTTTGATTTGCTAATGCATAATCTTAAAATATCAAAGATTAAGTGTTCCATTTCGTTTTTGACAACTTAAAATTTCCCTAGATTTATACTTCATGCAGTCTGTGTTCCAGTTATTAATGGAAGTTGCAGCTGTCTTTTGGTTTTGTTCATTTTGAATTGTGTCACATCAACAAATGATCCTGAAAGCTTTTGTCCCTCCACAACATTAAGGTCTATTTTTTTTTTTTTAAAGAAATAGACCACCAGGTCCTACTGCATCTTAATCTGGAAGTTTTGCTAAAGCCCATCCATCATGACTGAACATTCTGGAGTTTGAAATATTGGTGGCATAGCTTCCAGCATCACAGCAACACATAAACCAACACAGTATAACAAACTGACCAATGAGTGGTGGAGCTGATTTGTAGTGTTGTTCAAGTCCTCTTGTTCATACTGGTGTTCTTTCTAGATGAACTGTCTATTATTGAAAGTAGTTCATTGAAGTCTCCAACTATCATGGGAGAATGCTCTGTGTTCTTTTTAGTACTCTCAGCTTTTGCTTCGCATATTTTAAGTGATTATGTGTTTATAATTATATCTTCCTAATTAATTGACAATTTTTGGGCTCTGGAAAAGACTTTTTGAAATTTATTCTGTGGAATATTTTTTGCCAGTTTAAGAATTTAAATAGTGTTTTTCTGTTGTCAGTTTCAAAAGGAAAAAGTGCTTCTCGACTACTTAACTGACTTTTATATAAATTACAGTTTAGTGTCATAGGGACCATGACTGACAGGGTAGTTAACATTTAAGATGATTGCACTGAGTTCTATAAACGTCTAAGATTATTTGCATGTGAGGATATAATGTTGGAAAAACTTACAGAAATACCAAAATTCCATTTTTATTGTAATTTCATTTTAATCCTTTGACATGATAATGTACGCTCTTATATTTCAGGGAAAGGTGGCCCAGACAGCATGTATGTCAGCTTGTAAGCATTTAGCCACATCCCTGATGCAACTTCTGCTGGAAGCTGAAGTAAGACAGCTTACCTTGGGAGCATTACAGCAGTTCAACTTGGATGTCAGAGAATGTGAACGTAAGTCAGTGAACCACCCCTTTGCTTATTTGTCTTCCCTCCATACTCACTTTTATAAAATGTATTCTAGATCTGTGTGGCCCTTGTTCCTGTTGGAATCAAAGAATACGTAGAAATACTTTAAAGGATATATGGAAATGGAGTCTATCCACAAGGTGATTTGAGACCCCAAAAGTGTTTAGGCCTGTACATAGAGCAGAGAAACCTCCTGTCCACAAGGAAGCTTGCCATATAATGGGGGTGGAGGTGGAGGTGGAGGTGGAGGGGTGTAAGGCAGATGGGCATTTAATAGATACCAAAGAAAACATGATATAGCAAAGATTTAAAAAGGTTACACCTCTCAGTAGTTTATTTTTTTATGATATATTTAAAACTATGTTTACATTTTATCTGCAAACTCTTCTTAGGTATGCATTTATCAATTTGAAATGTTTCTAATCCAAGAAACGTAAAACCTTAAAAAGAGTGGATTCAACAAGTATGTTTTATCTTTCTCAGAAACAGTCACTTGTTGTTTGTGATATCATCATGGTTCTAGGTACTTTTGAGCCTTCTACTCTGCCCCCCTTAGAGTGTGGACTTTTCATCTCCATGTATATTATGTTCTGAAGAGACTCCCCACATTCAAGATGGGAAATCAAGACCAACTTTACCTGTTCCATTTGTTAAAAGAATAGACACCTTTTTAGGATACACCTTTATGCTTCATTGGCTAAAACACTGTCACATGGTCACCTAGCTCTAAGGGAGACTGCTAACTTTGTATCTGTCAATGTAAAAGAGGAGCATCATTATTAGTATTCATTATGCATATCTGCTTGGAGCTGAACACAAATTTATGGTTTGGTTAGGAAGAAAGAAGGAAAGAGTATGTATGGTTCACTGTTCTGTCAGTGAGTGAACAAAACAAAAAAAACCCCATAAAATTACAAAGCTCTTGGAAATTTTTTTCTAATTCTAAGAAAATTAAAATAATATAAAATTACCTGGGTCTGCTAACATGCCAACTCTATAGCATTTTATTTTGACTATTTTTTTTGTTTGTTTCTCTTGGTTTACATTTTTATCATTGTGCTAAACTATAATGTATATTTTCATTTTTAATCCCTGATATTTCTTGCTTGTTAATCTACTTTGACGTTAGTATAGCTAATATGACTAAAGTACGTTTTGAAGATTGTAAAACAAATACAGGAGAAAAAAATCAGATCTTGTAGATGAGAAATAAAAATAAGTAGCAACATAGTCATTTGAAATCCATCCATATTGGAGTGTATAGTCAATATAAATGGTCTAAAATAACCAATTTAAATCAGAAATTATCAGCTTGAATTAAAAAGGAAAACCTTACTATGTACTGTGTCCAGGGAAATTATAAAATAAGTTGTTGTTGTTATGTGCTGTGGAGTTGCTTCTGACTCATAACAACCCTGTACAGGGTTTCTGAGGCTATAAATCTTTATGAAAGCAGAAAGCCTCATCTCTCTCCCGCGGAGTGGCTGGTAGTTTCAAACTGCTGGCCTTGAGGTTAGCAGCCCGACTTGTAGCCAGTACGCTACAAGTGCTCCTTATAAAATAGGTTAAAAGGATGGAAAACAAATATGCAAGTGCTACCATAAAAATGCTGCATGGGTCTTTCCTCTGTGTTTTTTGTGTTATTTTTTAGAGAAACACTATGTTTATTTCATGAAAATACACTTTTTAGCACATAAAGTTTCATCATTATGTTCTCAGTTATTTAATTCCATAAGTAAAAGTCTTAGCAGAAAAACAACTTAAAAAAAAAAATTATTGTGAAGGTTTACAGAGCAGATCATCCGTTTTCCATTCAACAATTCATACACATTTTGTTTCATCTCATTGATTGCAATCACCACAATGTAACATCACGTGTCCCACATCCTGTGTTCCTGGTTTTCATTTCTCCTCCTTTCCTCACCCATCTGAACTTTGTCCTCCGGTAAATGCTGCCGTTTGGATCTTAAATGGTTGATTATTATAGGATGGGCATACCTCACTAATGTTATTGTTTCCCTTATAGGTGTATCTATTTTTGTGGTGGTGGTGGTAGTTAAGTGCCATTGAGTCAGTTCCAACTCATAGTAACCCCATATAGGGTTTCCAAAGAGAGGCTGGTTAATTTGAACCACCAACCTTGCCATTCAAACTAACCTTAAGTTCAAGCGTTTATGTGACTCTGGGGGCACACCATGTATCTATTGCTTGGCTGAAAATTGAGCCACAAGGATGAATTCACTTCCAGACTTGATTGGTGAATAGGGAGTGTAATCTTAGGGTTCTACCAGTCTCTATCAAGCAGTAAGCCTGGTCTTTTAAAATGATTTTTAATTTCTTTCACATTTTCCTCCACTCTATCCAGGTCCACCTATGTGATCCCTTTCAGAACAGTTGTTAAATGGTAGCTTGGCACCATCTCGTTCTCCTGACCTCAGGGTCATGGATACTGATGTCCATGTGATCAATTAGTCCATTGGATTAATTGTTCCCCAGCATCTTTGATTTTCATCACTCTTCTTTCCTCCAGGTAGAGAGAGGTCAGTAGTTGTACTTGTTTTTCAATTTTTTCTTGAGAATTGAGTGAAGGTTTATAAAGCAGATCTTCATTTTACATTGAATAAATCATAGACGTTGCTTCATTACTTGGTCGCAATCCCTTCCGTATACCAACAGTAACAGTTACCTGTTTTCACTTTATTCATTTCTCCCTGTGTCTCTCATTACCTTCATCTTTTCTCTACTAACCTCCCTCTTGTTGTATATTACCTGCCCTGTCACCCATGTTAATGTTCATAGCGACTCTGTATAGGTTTTCCAAGACGGTAAATCTTTGCAGGAAGAGATAGCTTCATCTTTTTCTTGTGGAGCAGCTGGTGGCTTTCAAACGCTCACTTTGTGGTTATTAACCCAAAATAACCCACTGCACCGCCAGCACCCCTCTAAATGCCATTACCAGTGTCCTTATGCGACAGAGACAAAAAATGTGACTACAGACATAAGAGAAGTTTATGTGAAGTTGAAGGCAAAGATTGGAGTAATGTGGCCACTAGCCAACAGAAAAAAAGACCACTTAGCAGCATGGAGAGAACAAGAGAGGCACCTGGAAACCGGGAGCATAATGCAGTAGGTCAGGGAAACATGATGAGTCATTAGCACTATATGACTACTGCTAACCACAAGGTTGGTGGTTCAAATCTCCAGCCACTCTGTGGGAAAAAAAGAGAATTGTCTGCTCCCATAAAATTTTACAGTCTCAGAAACCCTATAAAGGGTTACTATGAGCCAGAATCAACTGGATGGCAGTGTGTTTGATTTAGAATAGATAAAAAGAAATGGAGGGTGATAAAATTGAGATGGATGAGCCTTGTGGATGAGTGATGATCTGGGAAAGAATAAGGATGGTAACCATCACTTGGCCTGATTTGGAAGTGCATTTTTTTTTTTTTTTAAGTTTTTATTGTGAATTGAGTGATTACCTTACATGGGATAACATCAGTTTTACACTCATCGTTTCATTGCAATGATCACAGTCTTCTCTGTGCATCATTATTCAACAGTATTTGCTTCTATTCCCTCTGTTTTTGTTTTTGTTGTTTTTTAGGGGGAGGGGTACCCCAAATCACTCAGGAATATATAATCATTTAAACAATCAAAGGACATATTCTGCAAGCTTGCCCTCTGGCCACCAGCACCTGGCCACCAGCACACAGCCTTTCTCTTTCCTTGAGTCTAGAGTCCTCAGCTACTTCCTCTCTCCATGCTCTCATCTCTGTCTCCATCTCTGGTGTCGGTGCTTCTCTGGATAGGGTCCCACATTCTGCTTGTGCTCTTCTCCCTTGATGGCCCTAGGGTTCTCTGTTCCTGGACTGTAAGATTAACTACTCCCCTCTTTTTGTTATAAAACATTTACCTATATAGTTGTGACAGTTGCAATTAATCTTGATATCAATTACTCACTATTGAATCATAAGAATCTTATCCCCAGCTCCTTTCACCAGACCCATCTAGACAAGATGAAAATTATTTAGTGGGGATTATACCTCCCCCCACAACATTCTGAAACTAAACTCCCTCTTGAAAACATGTAAGCCAGGTCACTTCATGCCTTTATAGCCCCTCCCATTTTAGGTAACGAATGTCTAATTTGCCCGCCCCTGTATACAGAGTGGCTGGGATTGATTTTGGATGTGAAGACTCCTTCCCTCTCAGTTGGTATTTTGGACTACTACATCCATAAGTATAGGTCAAGTTCATCAAATTGTAGCAATTTACACTTGTTTTGTTTATCGGGGTCAGGGGAGGAGTTTTTTTTTTTTTCCCCCTTTTATCTTCCTTTGATCGAGTTTGATCATCAAGAGATTGAAGCCAGGTCAAATGCATACCATCTACAAATTTGGGGGTTCTTGTGTGTAGCCCCTCACTTCACATCAGCTGGGTGCTTCACTCTCAGCTTTAGCCCTCTGTGGCTATGTCCTTGTCCATGGGCTCAGGAGTCCCCAGGTCTCACCACACTTTGGATCAACCAACCCCTCCTCTTCTCTCTCTCATTTCCAGGTCAACAGGAGTCTATGGAAATGTGGTTGAACTTGGCCCATATCTTTATTGCAGCCTTTCTCCCTCTTCCACTCACCAGGAGACCAACGTGGTCGCCAGCAAGCTTATATGCCTGCTCATGTGTTCCCTTTGAGTTTCAGTCTTGGAGCGGGATTGGTCTTGAAGTGACTTGATTGCTTCCCTTGATGGCTCCCCAGTGAACAACTTGCTTGTTCTTGTAGTAACCAATCAGACTACCCTTTTTTGTTTTTGATTTTTCCTGCTGGTCTTTCTTTGATGAAGTATCTTCTGTTCCTCTAGCTATTCTAGACTGGTCTGCTTGTCCTTTCAAGTAGGAATGCCCCACTTGAGAGCATTCTGGATGGGGCTCAGGATTCCACCTTAGGTCCTATAGACTACAAATGCTCTGCAGGGAAGCTATTTCACTG